CATGCCTCTCCCTTGTTGTTGTTGTTGGGGGGGGGGGGGGGGGGGGGAGGGTAAATTTTCAGAAAGAAGCAGAAGTTGGAATGCCTGCAGAAAGCCCTTTGAGAGCCTGTTTGGGAATGAGGTAAGGTTGCCCGATCTCAATAGGTGAAGGGGTGTCTTTGCAGAACAGTTCACAGTGTATTGGGGCAGCTCACTTGAAACTCAGAGACATTAGAAGCAATTACTGAGCAAACAAGAGGTTGGAAATTCAGTGGCCAAGCCAAATTCCAATTTGGGAGTGCAGGCTGATGGAACATGGTGGGCCCATAAAGGCAATTGCCCTCTGGAGTCAAGTAATCTGTTGGTATTATCGTCAATCCCGCGGAGCTTGGTGTTGGGTATCAGGTATAGTTCATCTTGTTTAATCGCCTGCTACCCCACTCTGGACTCAATTCCCTGACCTGTGATGAGCTCATTAACTAATAAGCTGCCTCAGCTGCCAGTAGAATGCTGCCCGGAGCAGGGATGCCCTGCACATTTGCAATTAGGCATCCTACTTCCATAGATCGGGACAAGGGGGCACCAGAAGCTTCCAGGACTTGCTTTAGATCCCTCCTTGGGACTCATGCTTGTCCTGGACCTAGAAGCTGACTCTCTTCTGAAATAAAGACTGAACCCACTTGATGCTTTCTACACTGAGATTTTAAAATGTTTTCTCCCCACCCCGGGCACTTTCCAGACTGCCTCCACCCAAGAAGCTGAGGTCAGATTCTGGGGAAGCACACAGCCCCCGGGGATCCTGCTGCCTCTGGACTTCAGACACCGTATTTGGGGTCACGCCAGCACATGGGATCTCATGTTAGGGCCAGCACCCCAGGGGAAAGCAAGAATGGACGCTTTATCCAGTTAGACTCTACCGAATGCATAACAGAACATCTCCTACAAGGTTTGAAATAGGTGCACGTAGAAAAGCCGCGTCATCCCTAATTCCCACCGAGAAAGGCAGGGCCCCCACAGCGCTCTGCGCCCCGCTATCCCCGCAGGTAGGGGGCGCGCGCGGGCTCCCGCCCCAGGGCGTTGATGTGCGGCAGCGTGCCCGCCACTGCCGCCAGCTTCTCGCTGAGTTTCTGGTTCACCAGCTCCAGGTGGCGGCCGTTCTTCCTCGCCTGCCGCAAAGACCTCTTGACCTTCTTCACCCGCTCGCGGAGCTGCCTGTTCCGCTTCTCCAGCGTGGCCACCTTCTGCTGCAGCTTCTTGACATGGTCTTCCTCTTCAAACAGCGCCTTCTGCACCGAGGAGCACATGAGCTGGGGACAAAAAGACAGTGGAGGGAGAGGCAGGTGAGTCTCGAGTTTTCCCGGGTGCTGCTAAGAGCCTAGCAAACAGCACAGCCCCGATCACCCCACCCTATCATGAGAACAAACTGGGTGATGGCTTTGACGGTGATCTTGCCCTCCACGGGGTGAGTCCTGTCCTGACCTAAAATACAAAACCTTGCCTTTGCTTTCTGTATTTGGCTTCCTTGAAGAATTTGGGTTTAAAGAGAGATTCTAAATAGTATCAGAGCAAAAAGGAAAGTTCTCCTGGGACTCAAAAGACCAAAGCCCTAAACAGGAAAGCTCAGAAAGAATTTGGATAGTTCACAGGAAAGAAAATATAACTGTCATTTAAGCAGCTGAAAAAGACACATTTGCAAACTGTCACATGTACAAACATTACAGTGTTATTTAAAAGTAATCTAACATGCCCACTCAGAGAGGTCTAGCTCAAATTATAGTAAACCTTTATGTAATGGAAAAGTTTGACTCTTTCAAAGAATAAGGCAGCTCCTTCTGCATGCTTGGTGGCAGTGTGTTAAGTTTTGGTGTTTATATAAAAAGCCTGGTGCAGAACAGTGTAGATGATGTGATACCAAGAGTATAAGTCTGATATCCATATGTATCTATGCTTAAATATGCACTGTCCTTGAGAGAATATATAAGAAACTGTATCCAGGGAGGAGTAGGGACAGGAAGGAGATTTATTTTCACTGTGTACTCTTGTACTTTTTGAATTTTATGCTATATACTAATGTTACACACACACAGGTTTTCTCACCTCTAGCTTCTTCTCCACCTGTTCTACATCATCAAGAGCTATAATCTCAAAGCCTTAAGCCTTGACTTTGATCAGAATTAGGGAGTCCTCCTTATCTGCAGATTCTGTATCTGTGGGTTCCTCATCTCTGCTGCAATCAACCACAGTTCAAGAACATGCTGCAGGAAAAAAATTCAGAAAGTTTCGAAAAGCAAAACTTGAATTTGCTGCATGCTGAGTGCTACCTTAAACCCACACAGGTGATGTGTAGGCACACCCAGCTGTACCTCTCTCTCCAACACTCTGAGTGTTTGCCTTGTGTCTTGTTTGTGTACCATGGAGTTGGGCCTATGATGGTTTGCACCTGTGCCGCACATGTGTTGACTTTTATCATTATTCCCAGAGCAATATAGTAGAACAACTATTTAAATGGCATTCACATTGTATTAGGTATTATGAGTAATCTAGAGATGGTGAAAGTATGCAGGAGACTGCCTTTTTATGCAAGGGACTTGCACATTTGCAGATTTGGGTATCCAAGGTGGAGGGTCCTGGAATGGATCCTCTGTGGATATTGAGGGAGCACTGTATTCTTCAGGCCCCACCACCTACCTTGCAATATGGTATGAGGTTAAAAGTGTAAACTGGGCTGGGCACGGTGGTGCACACCTGTAATCCTAGCAGCTCGGTAGGCTGAGACCAAAGGTTTGTGAGTTCAAAGCCAGCTTCAGTAAAAGCAAAGCACTAAGCAACTCAGTAAGACCCTGTCTCTAAATAAAATACAAAATAGGGCTGGGGATGTGGCTCAGTGGGCAAGTCCCCCTGAGTTCAGTCCCCGGTTACCCCCGCCCCCCGAAAAGTGTGGACTGGGTCAGGCTGCTGTGGTTTCAGGCCTGCCTCTACTGCTTCTGAGTGGTGTGGCCTCGGGCAGACAGCTTTTTGGGAGGGGGCCAGGGGGCTGCGAATTGAATCAGCTACATTCCCACCCCCTTTTTTAAAATTTTGAAACAGCTCCCTAAGTGCTAAGGCTGGCCTCAAACTTGTGATCCTCCTGTCCCAGCCTGTAGAGTCACTGGGATTATAGGCATGTGTCGCTGCAAAGAACAGGACAAACTTCTTAAGCCCAGGGTAGTACACTCTGTGCTGCATCAGCCACATGGCCTTTGGGACAGAAAGATTTGTTCCCCCAGTTTCTTATACTCATCCCTCAGCTGAGTCTCTTTCCAGAACCTGCCCCTGACTCAAGAGATTCGCCCAAGATCACACCCCCTTCCTGTATCCAATGACCAGCTAACCCAAGGCAGGAAAACTAGAGCTGCTCATTCAAACTTGGAACATCTGAAGGGCTGTCTCAGCCTCAGAGCGTCCCATGGGGTAAGCTGGCCCTTACTGAAGTTGACATTGCAGGATGGCCTCTCCTTCTGCCCAGTCCTGCTTCCTCTCCTGCCATCCCTCCCCAGGTGTGTCCTTTAATCCCGGGGACATTCTCTGAAAGCTTCCTGCACACTCAATCTCCTCCTGCACCCTCAGTCTCCTCAGGGAACTTCACTGGCAACCCTTGTGTCCTTGTGTGTACCATGGGATAATCATGGTTTTGGAGGACTGAATGAGTTTGATCTGAAAAGTATTCCAAACCATCCTCTGTCGGTCACTATTACAGAATAAAGTCTCTTAAAAGTCCTAACTTTTGTGATTGCACATGGCCTACAGCTCTAGTCTTATTGTTCCTCTTTCTGTTTCACACACTGTATTCACAAAAGCAAAAAGGCTCCTGGTTGTTCCCTTCTGCATATTTTGGGGGCCTCTGCCACAGTCTTTCTTTTGCCTGGCGTGCTAGTTGCCCCACCCCAGTTCTGTCTGGCAATCTTAGAAGCAGTCTGTAGGCCCACTTTGCCATGCCTCCTACGGTGTCCCCCACTGTATGTAGCGCATCCCCCTGTGGGGTCTATGTAGCACCCTACATTTATTTATGCTGGGGGCAGAGGTCTCCACACCCTTGATGGATCACAAACTCCTTACAACCCAGTTCATGTTGGTCTTTGTAGTTTTGTTTCCCTGGCTGTTAGAGGTGTATGATAAAAATCTGAGCCAAGTGACATTTTCTTAAAATACCTGCCATTTAATCAAGGGCTTTGGGCTCCTGTTACCATTATAGGGGAGACCACATGTGCAACACTGCCCTCCTCTGGCCAAAATGAGACCCCTTTAAAAGAGAAGCAGGGTACAGGAAACTCTTGGGACAAGTCATTATTTCTATTGTGTATGCAGAGGTATCTCTATACCTTAGGATTCAATATCCCCAAGTGACTAGGATAAGCACTTTGTATCCACTCTCATTGTATTGGTCTTTCTATAAGTTATGGCAGATTCTTTTTAAATTTTTTTTATTTGTAGTTGGACACAATACCTTTATTTTACTTATTTATTTTTATGTGGTGCTGAGGATCGAACCCAGGGCCTCGCTGTGCTGGGCAAGTGCTCTACTGCTGAGCGATAGCCCCAGCCCCATGGCAGATTCTTAAATCAAGAACAGGGTAAAGGAGGATAAGCAAAATCTACTAAAACAAGAGGTTTTTACTTGACTCCTTGGATAGAATCCAATAGTGTTTCTGGAATATAACATCCAAGAGAAATTGAAGGCATGTTTTATGACATTCTTTAAAAGCTACATCTTAAACACAAACAGTGGAATGGTGAGGCTGGAGAGAGTACTTGTGAACAGAGCTCTTGCTAAGATACTGATACTCTTTGTAGGCATCCCCTGGGCCCCAGGGCCAGCCATTCCCTACTCTAGAGAAAGTAGTACAGCAGGAGAAACCTCGCCTCCAGCAGCACTAACCAGCCAAGAGCAACCTGATGATCACTATGATCACCTGAACAACTCAAGAGGGAAGAGAGGAATGCCTTGACATGTGTGGATGTGCGCACACAGGTGGGGGGTATCATTGAGAATGGAAATCAGTAATTGTGAGCTAAGTGTGGGAAGAATGGATGGGATGACTGAGTTCCTTAGTGAATGTCATCCTGTGATCCGTGCAACCTCTCTTTAGCATGAGTAGGAGCAAAAAGCCATCAGAATAACTCATAATTGTCCAATATTACCAATGGTGCCAACCATGACCCAGGCTTCCTTATGAAGCTGAAGGTCTCTATCTCAGTAGCAAAGAGGACTCTGTCTCCAGGAAGTAGGCCAATAGGAATTTAGGCAATGCCTAAAATAATGGAGCCACAGCCAAAGGTATGTAAAGGAGGCCTCCTGAATCCTGGCCATCACCCCAAAAGAGAATTCCATCTTTCTGATTAAAAATGCAAGAACTTCTAGAGGAAAGCTATGCTTTCAAATATGTGTGTTTCTTTAAGAAACTTCCCTTTCTCTGGAATGCTTTCCAAATGAAATCAATCTCTTAAAAACTGCTGTGTTTAAAAAAAATGCTATATGCTCATTTATCTTTGTGGTATTTTTTTGGTAAATTAAAATGAGGAGAGGAAAGGCCAGACTAGGCTGAGACAGGTTCTACTGCACTTTCTTTGAAGAAGGCCTAAGGAAAACAGTCCTATAGGGCAGCCCCCAAGCCACAGATTCCTGCCACACAGGCCCTTCCTCCACCCCATCCCACCACTTCCGATGGCTGAAGTGGAGAAATCATTTGGCTGCCAGATGCCAGATGCTGAAGCACCTCCAACGTTCTCCTGGTTCTCCTCAGGCACAGTGTGTCTCTGGAAGTTTCCACGTGGTGACAGGACACCTGCTGCAGGGCAGATGGAAAGACTGCCACAAGGGAGCCGCCTCTTTTACTTTCAACAAGACAAAAGTTAGGCTGGAATATCTATTCCTCATCTTTTAAAAATAACACATTTTAAAGCTATAAAAGCAACATGCTGATAAATAGAAAAAACTTTTTTAAAGATAAAAAAAAGAAAAATTAAAACCATCTGTAGTTCTATTGCAGAAAGATAGCCTCTGTTGACATTTGAATGTTTCCTAGTTTGCTTCTATGGGCATAGCTAAGGATTTTAAACAAAATTGGAATGATGCCACTACTAAATGTTCCAAGTTTTTTCCCCTTGATGCTTTGTCATGACTATTTTCCAAACACTGATTTGCACACTTCTTACACTGAAGCACTCAAAGGAGGGAGCATACAGTAGTTCCTCTTTACCACTATGACCTGCAGGTTCATGAATCATTAGTTGTCATTTCTCCTCTATCCTCATGCCCACAGGCTGAGGG